GAATTGAGGCAGTTCTGAAGGCAAAAGGGGGTCCAACCCGTTACTAGCGTGGTGTACCTAATAAAGTGGCCGGTGAGTGTATATGTTTGGATAATTTTTCAAAAGAACAAACATTCAATAACAAGTCTGTTAAATAACTTTTGGATATGAAAAACTTAAAATTTCTTAATGTTTATTAATGGTACCTACATGGTTCGTCTTGTGCAGAATGACAAAATTCAAAATTATTTCTTTACTAAAACCTCTGTAACTTTGCTCCAGTTCATTTTAGCAGCATGGATCTTTGCACAGGTAATGTCCACAAGTGGGTTTATGGTTTCCAAGAGTTTTTTAGCCTGATTCATTATGGTTTTAAATAGTTTATACATTGTCTAATGAAACAATTATTCAGGTGAGTGAAAAAATAAAAATAAAAACATTATGTTCCATCCTCAATATCTCTAAAACCATAGCAGCTGTTTTAATACTTACACTTCTGATGAAATCTCCAAAGTTTTAGCTTTATTTTGTTACCAAGATTATTTAAGTAGAGTTTGTAAATGCTGAGATACACTCGGTTACATTTCAGTATAATATTTTGAGCAAAAACCTCAAGAAATCCCCTTGGGGAAAAGTTAACACATAGTATAAGTTCAGTTGTTGTTGTTCATTAATAATGTGGTGAAACTGAGCTCGAGGCTGAAGCTCTTGACTTACCTGTCGGTCAGGTGCTTACCAAACGTCACCTGTTTGTGTTCAGGTTTGGCTCGATGCTAAAGCAGCGCAGAGTTCAGCTGCTCTGAGCAGAATGTTATAATAACTTGGTTTGTAGTGAAACCTCTCAGCCTTACAGGTGGAGCTGAAGGACGTTCCCGTGAGTTGAGGAGGAGTTTTGTGTTTTCACTCTAATCTAAACAAAAAACTCACTAAATGGTAAAATAAATAAAACACTGGAGTAACACTGCGCCGCTTGTTTTTTAGCATGAAGAGCTCCGCTCCTGATGCTGCAGAATCTGCTGACAGCCTTCAGCATGAAGGTACAATAACTCCACAAATTATTTCAGCTGTTTGGTGCAGACATGTTGATTGATGTGTCTTTATTTCATATTCTTTGTATGCATTGCTAATTGATGACACCTGACTATTTAATAATGGCCTTTAGCTTATCTGACAGATAATCGCAGTATTAGGATGGGTTTTTTATGTTTGTTTCCGTTGCAGAGTACGTAGCACTGTACACATATGAGTCTCAGCAGCACACTGACCTGACATTTAAAGAAGGAGACGTGATTTTGGTGAACAAGAAAGAAGGAGAGTGGTGGAACGGCTCGACGGGGGAGCGCTCCGGCTTTTTTCCAGGCAACTACGTCAAACCCAAAGAGGCAGACGTAAGAACGCCGAACACACACCGACACATGATGACAGACGGCCCACACCTAATGAATTTGTTCATCTGAGATTATAGTTTGTGGTGATGTAGATCCAGATGTCATCACTGTAAATTATGTAGCATTAATGCTGAGTGTTTTAATTAGGATGTATTTAAAATATTAACTGAATTGACAACTTGTTTTATTTCAGGCATCAAGCATATCTGGAAAGAAAAAACAAGGTAAGATCTTCTAACGTCTTTATATTTATTATCATCTTAAGTAAGGCCTGCAGTGTGAACGTAGCCTAAGTTTCAGGGGTTCTGCTTCAGTTGAAGTTATTTTGATGTCGTGTGCGCAGAAATCGCCCAGGTGACCCGAGCCCACTCCTCTGCTGGCCCCGATCAGCTGAATCTGGAAAACGGCCAGCTGATTCTCATTTTTGGCAAGAACTCCTCTGGCTGGTGGCTCGGAGAACTTCAGGTCAGTGAAAAACCTATTCTTATTTGTTTAATTATCCAACTGCACTCAAATCAGCCATGTTACCTGCTTATTAAAGGGATCCCTGATTAGTTGTAACATTAGACTTTATTTGATAAACATATATTTTAACTGTAAAATAAAGACTGTAAAAATACTGTAGGTTGTATAGTTTTGTACATTTTTAAAAATATATTTTAACACGAACGGAGCCATTTTATTTACAKGCAAAGCATTCTGGGTAAATGATGACGTGGATAGGTCCTCGGTGTGAGCGAGCTATATCCA